GGGGAGATTCAGGCTGGACATGAGGAAGCATTACTTTTCAGAAAGGGTGGTCAGGAATGGATGCCCAGGGAGGTGGTGGAGTCACCGAGCCTGGGGGTGTTCAAGGAAAGGCTGGATGTTGTGTTGAGGGACATGGTTTAGTGGGAGCTATTGGGAATGGGTGAACGGTTGGACTGGATGATCTTTTAGGTCTTTTCCAACCTTGGTGATTCTATGATTCTATGATTCTATGATTCTAAGTTGCTCACAGCCCCATCCAGCCCAGCCTTGAACAGTGTCTCACCACCCTTGCAGTAAACAATTTCTACTGTCTAATTTAAATATGCTCTCTTCCAGTTTAAAGCCATTTCCCCTCGTCCTGTCACTACATGCACTTGTAATTGAGTTGACTGAAAATGGTCTCAAGAATAAACAAAAAAACAAAAAAAAGACTTTTTCAGCATTTTTGAAATCTGGTCTCAAATTCCTTCATCAGAATGAAAAGCACAGCTGCGTATTCTTTGCTGTTCACAGGACTGTGATCAGCCTATGTGTCAAAATGCATAAAATTATTTGCCATAAAATTGAGCTGGCACTACTCTGGGCCCTATGCCATGGCTTCAGCCCAGGTGGGGTTCATATTGCACCAATGTTTGGTTGATGCTGAGGCTCAGTCCAGGCCGCTTAGTGGGGCAGAGCTGCCATCGTGATGGCTGGGGCAAAAAGCAGCCACAGTGTGAGGCCTACTGGCCATGGGTTGGATATGCCTGCTCTAAGGTGAGGTTTGAAGATAAAGGCCTGTATTAGAAACAGCTCTCCTCAAAGCTAAATCCAGATGTTGCCATAGCATTAAACTTTATTTATGCACTGTCTTTTCTATCATGTTTTAAGTGACTCATATCTAGATAAAATTATTGACCTTAGAAACATCAGCATGTTGGATATATCAGCTGGAAAATCAGTACGGTGGTTGCCATAATATACATGGATCATTATGTACTTACATCTTTAATCAAATATTGTGTTTATTTTCTTCTACTCAATGCTGTTTATTTTAAAGTAATCATGGTAAAATAGTGTGATGGTCTGCACTTTTAGAAAACAGTGAAGTTGTTTCTTGCAACTTTGAAGATACCCAGTAATTCCTTCTAAGAACTAAAGATATTTGTGCCAGTGTACTATTGCCAATTAGAGTAATAACATATTTCTTCCATTAAAAATCATTAATATTGATCATACATTCTATCCAATGCCATTCTTTTGAAGTTCTTGTGGGTGACTTAAAGTTCCTGCAGAATGATTTCTCTGTTTCCTTTTAGTGGTTGAATATCATATTGAAATTCTCTTCCTTTGACATTTCTTCAGCTAACAAACTGCCTTGAACTGTCCGTTCAGTTATATGCTCCAGATGTTATGATCCTTTCCATTGGAGCATCCCCCAGCTACAGTTCTGACCTCATATTTCTGAATAAATCCAAGATTACACAGATTTTGGCAATGGATTTTTATTGTTAATGGTAAAATCACAACGATGTTAGCTGCTTTTTAGGTCTGTTTGTCTTGGTAATCTTGTTAATATTTTTTGTTTGTAAATTAACTGCAATTTTTAAACATCGTTTTTATTTAAAGCAACATTGTTATGTATTATATGCACGAGATGGTAATCATTATTTAATGTCTACATATGAATGTTATGTGATTCCAGCCCAGACTGTCTTTGGCAAACGAATGTGTTACTGAGCCAAAGAAAAATGAGTACATGAAATACGTGGATTATAGCTCAGCTGTTTGTGGTGTTACTCCACCCACTCAGGGATCTTAGAGAATCGTTTCACCTCCATGCATGACTGGGAACTTTGTTTAAAAACTGCCATTCATGTTCATAGTGAAGGATCTGGGATTTCCTCAGAGGGATGTGAATTGCTTTATCCCCGTTAGTGGTCATAGTATTGACATATGAATTCATTTTTCTTTCACCTTGTCATGGCCAAAAGTGATGCAAAATAATCCTTTTTGTGTTTAATGTGTGCTGTGCAGAGAAGGGCCATGCTGCTTTAGAGTAGTGTAGTTGTTCCATCTGGACAGCACTCCTAGTGTATACCACGTTTCAAGAATACAAGCAGCACTATCGTGCAACTATTCCCTGGGTATGGACAGAGAAAGAAGGGGAATCAAGAGAGATTATTGAAATTAACTTAAAAAGCATGCAAAGGAAGAGAAAGATCCTTGGGTTGCTTTTAGATACGAAAGTGATCCCAGAGCCTTTTTAATTAAAGAGTAGGGAGATAAAGACATTTCAAGATTAAATTGTGACTGTGCTGTTTCATGGAGTGTATACTTTCATTTACAGTAGATTGCAGAGAAGCTCAGAGAAATAAAAAATAAGCTTGTAATGCTGACTCGCTTACCAACTGTTAATTGCTTGTATTTTTTTTTCAAATAGATTTTTGTTTCTTACCGTGGGCTGCTTCATTCTCTACTATCTTCATAGTTCCTATATATTTTTCCTGTTCACAGTCTTTTGTCCAAGAATTTGCTACTAGGCAATGTCCAGAGTACGTACACATACTCTGCATGTGCTCTTGCTCTTCTCTAATATTTCCATTCCTCTATTCCACTAACTGTCTGACACTTCCTCAATATGAAAATGCCAGCATATGGAAAACTGCTTTTTTTTTCAGGCCCTTTGCCTCCCTCTCTCTTAGCTCTTTTTGTTTCCCCAGTGGGTTGTACTTGAAAGTGCACAAATTCTAGTTACTTGTTTGAAGCTCTAGAGGCCATCTATGTAAAATAATGGCTGTGATAGAAGTTCCACATTCAGTGCTTCAGTCCATCCTTTGATCCACTTCAGTTTGGTATAATTGCATGAGTCTTTCTTTATTATCTCCCTAGAACTTGTGGGATGACACTGATTTCAAAATTCCACACTGAAACTGTTATTTGCAAGATAGTAGTTGAACCATGATTCCTTCCTGTATGCATTGATATGTCCTTCACTTACTGCATGTGTCTGAGGCACCACTAAACATCTTGTGCAGACAGATACAGCATGTTCACTTGATCACTCTCTTGAACCAAGGATCAGCAGATGCAACATTTTCTGGTGCCAGTGTTTGAGAACTTGTTATTTCCAACTGTTACACCACTGTTTCTGGTCTTCCTTTTACTCCACTGCTTTTCCAACTGCAAACATCCTGCTGACCAAAGATCAGAGAACTCTCACTCAGCTCTCCTCCTATACTCTCTCCCTGGATTGCCTTTCCCTCCACTGACTTTGGCCTATCTCTTCTGTTTTTTCTTTTCTTTACTTTTTTTTTTTTTTTAGCACTGACTCTGTGCAGAAGTTATCCTGACATGGTTTATAAACTCATTTTTTCCTACTCAGCTTTTCTCTCTTGGCTGTGTTGCTGCTAACAGATGTTCTACTGTGGTTCCATTGTCTGTCCTTTTCAGTCATTCCCAGTAGTTCAATTCTGTACTGAAAAAATCCTCCAGAATTTGAGATGAGGAGTTTGTTAGTTAATGCTGACCGTGATAGATTTCTTTCTTTTGGCACTTTTAGAAGTTTCTAGAAAATGTCCTATTCAGTGAATATTATTGGCCAAATGGGAATTTCATCAGTGTTCTGTCTTCCTAGGATTATCCTTTAAAAATTAGGATAATGCTTAAGATATTCCCAGAAACGGAGAGAGAAGTAATATATTGTAGTATTTCCCATAAAAATTTTTAAAGGTATATGCACATATGATGTCTATATTATTCAGTTTATCTGCACCTTAAACAGATTTAATCTCAATAGTGGAGATAATGAACGAATACGGTTAATAATAGCACGTTTTTACTTAAGAATTTTTTGGAATTTCTACCATGTTTAATTTTTTTCTAAAATTTTCCTTTATGCTATGCTTTTACTTCATGCAAGCATGAAAGTGCTGAGTACTTTGCATTACACTTCTAAACCAAAACATCTGACTTTTTCGGATTGTCGCTGGAGAACCAGAGGAACCCACAAACACCACACTTGCTTTAAAAGAGCAAGATTTCTCTCTGGAGTGTTCCAGAATTTCTTCCATAATGGCCAACAGATATTTAAAGTTTTGACCCTGAGTCTCTATCCTTCACTGCATATTTATTACTTGATCTAGGATTTCCTTGAGCTAGGAATATTGAAGTTTTAATCCAGCATCCCCCTACTTGTCTGGGGAGTTACTTATCCTTTTTGTGTGTGGAAGAGTTTATAATATCTATCTTTAGCAGGCAGTAGGTCTAGTTCAACATTAAATGGTGCAGAAATTAAAAAAAGACAGAAGCATTATGTAAAAACTAGTAGGCATCTTTCAGTAAAAATAGCTCATTTTGGTAAAGGAATACATAGCAAGGAACTTCAGAGATACTGACTGGTTAGCCAGGGCATTTCTATGGCTTTATACTAGAATAATCACAGGTTTTTAAGAATATGTGTTCACATAGACAGCTGTGTAATGAACAGATACTATAATGTGCATTTTTACAAATGAGTTTTGGGAAGGGTAAGCTGTGGCAGTATCAGTCTCTTCTACGAGCACTTAGATGCATACTCACCTTCAGTTTGTGTGGGCATCAGCATGTGGGATGCAGACTGCAGCAGCCTATGTGCTCTTCTTGATCTAGAAGGGAGGTTGTGTAAGCTGATATGACGACTGAAGTGCTTCCTAGGAAGGCTTCAGCAGTGTGAGCATGTGGAACTGAGTCTTGGGAACTGACCATGCCTTGGCTACTCCTATTTTCGGGCAGCTCATATACAGAAGAGGCAGAAGCTGGTTGTTGAGTTAGGACAGAATAGGAACACAGGTAAATCAGCAAATAGAACCCAACTTCTGAGTTTGAATGTAACTTAGTATAACAACCACCATTCCTGTTCTTCTAGAACTGTAGGTAAGATTTAAGTCTTCAGGTGTTTGTTTGTTTGTGTGTTTGTTTTTTTTATATATACACAATAAGACAGGAGGCTGATACAAAATCTTAAAAATGTTTTCTGGAAATATTTTAGGAAACTGATAGATACAAAGAACTGGCAATGCATTCAAGAAAGTTGAGTGTTGGTCACAATCCTGCAGCAACTCCACGTCAACACATAACCTGCATTCATATATAATGTTCATGCACAGCTCCTCCCCACATGTCTACATTCATTTCTATCTATTTATAATGCATAGTTTTGAATTTCTACCAGAAAATTTCACAAGAGAGCGCAGAACAAACTGTCAGAAACAACTACTTATTGAAGGATTCTGTGTAACTAATGCCATTCTGTACTTATTTACTGCATTAAACAGAAATCCTTGTAGGTAAATAGTCTTGCAATCTGTATAATTAACAAACATGTAAACAGTGTGTTGGGTTCCTTTTTTTGCCAGAGTACCAAATATTTGAATTTACTTTAAAAAAAAACAGGGTTTCCTTATTAGCCTAGCACAGTGACGATTACACTGTGCTTTTTAACTGTTTGAACTGACTTTTCTTTGTGTCGTTCCCATTCCTCATCGTCTTTGTCCAGATCAAAAGTTTCTGGATAAATGGGTAGCTTGTCTTTTGGACACTCCTCGTAATAACTCCGAACATATTTTCCAACAGACCAGCCTTTGTATTCCTCAGGCATTTTGCATTCTAGGCCATTGTAGTGGACATTGTAGTGATGCTTCAACCAGTAGAAAAGATAATGAATGTTGTAATCACATCTCCAAGGATTTTCTCTCAGCCACAGAACTTTCAGAAAGTAAAGATCTTCCAATACTCCATATTCAAAATTCTGCAAGCTGTTGTTAGATAGATCCAGCTCTTCTAAGTTATTGAGCCCTGAGAAAGCAGCTTGTCAAAAGAAAGATATTTATTTGTAACTTGTAAATATGAATTAGAGAAGATATGCTTATCTGCAACAAGAAATAACTTTTTCATAACTTTGTCTGTTTTTACTAAAGGCTATAAAAAGACATTTGAAACACAGATCTTTATTAAATGGTTTGTACCCTGAGTATCGACAGATATTATCCTGAAAATGTCAACATTAGAGTGGTTGTATTGCTGATAAAGTCATAAAACACTTACGAAAATGCATGAGTGTAGTGTAGTGCCAGTGGAGATGAATGAATATTTGATTTACTCATAGAATTCTTGTATTCTTTCCATGACACAAGGTTCTGAGTCATGTTTCAGGGAGCACTTCATACTTTTTGCAAGTTTTGTTTCATGATAGAAGACTTAATTTGAATAAGTATGTTGCTAAACCTCAGAAATACCCTTCTACTGATATTAACAGTTTCTCCTATTTAACCTCTAAAATACTACTAAAGAAGGCTCAATTGCTTCATTATTTCTATCTCTCCTTGTGTCTGTTTTCATAATGAAAAATCAAATACACATATGCAATAAGCAAACTGCTAAACAAGGTCACTTGAAGTCTAATAATACATAACTTAAGAGCAACTATGTGTATCATTTTTTGATCAAAAAGAGTTTTAATTATTTTGGTTTGTCTATTACTTCATATTCATTACTATTTAAAAGCAGCATTCATTATATTACAGCTTTTTTTTTTTAAATTGGAAATCATAATTCAGGATATTCAACTATTTGGCACTTTGGTAAATGGTTAACCTTCAGAATTCTATTTTTGCATTGGCTTGCTTAGTGTTAAAGAGCTGCTGAAATCAGTCACTCTTCATTGACTTGATGATTTATATGTCTTTTGTGATGATCTATGCAACCTTTGTGAATTGAATGCTACAAAAGGTTAAATTTGCACAGACTTCTAGATTTTTAGGTCCTTTCTTTCTTGCACATTTTTATGTGACAGAGACTTTACCAAAGTTTACAGTTTATGAAACACAAATAACTGTAAAATGAATATTTAAAATTATTCTTACCAGGATCAATGTACGTTATTCCATTACTGTTTAGGTTTAATATCTTCAGTTCACTGATGTCTTCAAACTCTTTGGGTCGCAGTTGTTTAATTTTGTTGTTGGACAAATCAAGTTTAACTATATCTGGAGGTATGTTACCAGGAACTTTCTTTAAATCTTAAAAAATGGAAAAGAGAGAATTTGTATCATTTTTAGGTTATTCTTATTGCTTAGGTTTCACACTTGCAAACAGCTTTGTTGGTCTCACTTTATTTCTTTCCCTTTCTTTTCCCCCATTACTTCTATCAATGTTTTTTCAGCTTCTGACTTTGGCTGCCTTTTTCTTTTCCATCTTTATGTTTCATATGAAAGTTGCATTCTTCACTAGTGTTTACAGCAAAGCCTCATTCACTGTTTTTTATTTTTCTTTTGGTAGTACCATATTATTCATCTGTGTAGGAATGGGGGTAAAGACACTAATGAAAGGTGTGTGTGAAACTTGTAAATAGGGAAAACAGTATGACGAGTAAATAAACGCTCATTGCCATGGGAACATATTCCGTAATCAAATTACAATGTGCTCTATTACATCTTTTGTTTTATGTTGCCAAGAGGTAAAATTTCATTAGCAATAAAAGTGGTAATAATCATAGTATTTAGTAAGAGGTATAGTTATAATTGTACTTCTATAATTATAGTTGCTTATTATTTATAAAAATACGTTTTGTTACAATGCTTATTTGCCCAGGTGATATTTCTAAGTATTCTATCTATCTACTTCTCTGTCCTACTTGTATCATTGGCATTTCCAGAGCAGACAAGCATGTCTCAGTCATTATTTTTAAAAACTACTTTTAAAAGAGTTACAGAAAGAACAGCTTCTAGGTTGCTAGTAAGGGCATGTCCTTGAGAAGAGCCAGGTGTGGTCTGAATCTTCTCCGGATAAAGTCATTAAACCTTATCTCCAGGCTTTCTGTCTGCTAAATGTAGTGTTCTAATCCTGGGCTGTTAGAACAAAATGAGTGGTAGTACCCCTACTTTAACTGTCTTTAAATAAAAGTATAATCCCTGAGTCTGTGCTGAAATTGGTGTTGTCAGTACACTTCAGAATTTTGAAGATGTCTCAAGCATCAGCATTCTTGAGACTAAAGCAACACATCAGAGACTTCCTGCCTTATATTTGAATTTCAGTAGAGCTTTGGTATGATAATACCTGTATTATAAATATGTAAATATTATAAATGCTCCTGCCTGCTCTGGTTGGAATGTTTCCTGCTTGTGCAGATGTCAAAGTTTAGGGTCTAATTATTGCCAAATGAATGAAAACAATGCTTGAATTTATGGACATTTAACATACTCTTCATGTCTGTGCTCTAGAACATGGATTTTTTTCAGCTGTTTTTGTGAGTCCAAATAATTTTGCAGAAAAGCAAACAACTTTTGTGGGTTTTGTTTTTTGTTTGTTTGTTTGTTTGTTTTTCTTTTTTATAACAGTCAAGGACACAGGATGCTTTTGTTCTGAAGTGCTTCCAGTTCTGGTGTATCACTGGTCTGATGAGATCTGAATAAGAAGTTCTTCAAAAAGGAGGAGATATGTGTATTTATATATTTATTTTTAAGAAACATTTACATTTTTAAGATGTCTATTCCATGAGCTTTCTGGCATTAACTAAAAGCTCACGACCAGAAGGACAAAGTGCAGGCCTTATAATTTCTCTACAGAAATGCACAGTAATGCTATCCTGCTTGTCACTCTGTCCCCTCAATTGTAAAGAAATAATGCTTCAGCTTTTGGGGGCATCGTCTGATTTGACAGGTGATGAATTCTCTTCCTACTCTGAAATCTTGTACCTATGGATTTAGAAGAAATTTTATTTTTTGTCAGGAATTTGAGTTTATTATACTCCTCTTTCTGATGAAAATTCCAGTGAAATTGTGCATCTGCTGCACAGTAATCATATGCAGGGACAGATAAGTATGATGCTTTCATCAAAGATTACCATATGTTTAGAAATCCCAAATTTTCATTAGATATGTGCATCCAGCTGTCAAGCATATGCACAGTAGATCTGGTACTTCCTAAATGAGACTTACTCAGGGTGTGCATGCTAGACATTCAGGATGTCCAGGAGTGATAGAGATAGCTCTTGACCTGAAGGAAGGAGTCCTGTACCCCTGTACACCAGAACTGCAGTACACTCCTGTGGGTGCTGATGTAACTTTATTTCTTAGCCAGTAATTTGTTTTTCAAATCCTGTGAAGCTCCCATAAAGAGCAGACATGATTGAAGGTCACTATGGAGTTAGGGAAAAAAAACATAACATTTTTCTTGCCCCAAATTTTTGAGTATACTAAGGTATTCAGCTCATCTCTTCTACACCACCGAATAGGAAGAGATAGAAAGTCAGTATTATATCAATATTTATATTATAATAAATGTATATGTATATGTACATGTATGTATATATGTACATGTATAATATATGTATAATACATGTATATAGTGATAAATGTACATAATAATATATACCTCTTTTTGTTCAGCTTTTGTTCAACAGTTTTCTAGAATCTTGAAGTAATTGATGCAATTAAGATCATGTGAAGGATAGTTAAGATCATAATCTGTGTCTAATAACTAAGCTCTTATTCACAACGAGAGGAAAGAGAGGAATATTAAGAAATTAATAAGTGTTAGCCAATAAAAACATAATTAATAAAAAAAGACAAAGTAAAAGAGGAATTTAGCAATGAAAAGAAGGTAAAACCATCAATATTTTTTATAGCATATGTAGCAGACAAACCGTGTCATCAAATGCTGAAATCATTAGTTCTTTCTGTTTAGGTAACATCTCCAACATCAAAGTTCAAGAGTAGGAACTCACAAAGAGTTATATAAATATAAGTCACTGTTAAATAAATAGAAGTTTAGCAAACACATTGCGAGATACAAGTAGACAAAATGTTCTACAGGATATACTTTGCAAAACTTTGGAAAATAGTTCTTCCAGTTTGGGCTACTTCAGGTAATGTTTTTTAGTACAGATTGTATAATGCTAAAGGGCAACTCTCTTCAGAATTGCTTTGTTCCATGTTTTGTTTCATTGTGGTGTAAAATATGAGAAATATAAAGCATGGATAAATGTACATTTTCATTTTGACACATGCCACAGTTGGTTTACCCTTAGGGCTCAACTATGGCTTTTAGCAGACTGAGATGCACTTGGGAATGGAATGGATCCAAGAGACTGAAAAATATTTCTTAAAGTCACTTCAGCTTTAAAGTGTTTGTTGGGTACTGAGAGGAAGAACAGAGAGGAGATATTTCTTTATGAAGAAAAGTGTACAATTTCTTCCTTAAGAAGAAGAAATCATGCAAATACACGTGGGGCTCTAGTGACTCTTCTTTGCATTTAGGTTCCTATGGGGATTGTTAGCACAGCTAGCTGGTCCAATCCTGCTTCACAATTAACTTTTGTGAAATCTTTGCATTTATACATGGGGAAAAATCAATCAATAAATAAAAATGCTCCATGCTTATTTTTGTCTGTGCAGCGATTTTTGCACAGCTGCAGTATGACTGATCAGTATGCTTACCACTGTAGTATCAGACAGTTGAGGTGCTGACGGTTCCATAATTTAAGCATAGGCTTAATTTAACTACTGTTGATTTTCATTGGATGTGTTATACTAGAGAACTAAAGAATATTTGTGAGAAAATTATTTATGTTTAACAGACAAAAAATTAAAGTGTTAGTTAAAGTAAGTCAAGAAAGAACTGGTGCCATATGGATTTGTCATAAATAATATGTGCAGCAGTAAGAGGGCAAGATTATGAAAATAATTCATTCAGTTAGAAGAATAGATACAAACCTTTTCTCTTGCAGTTCAGAGTTGGTACAGGAAACACATACATGTGGCACAAAGAAGAATCAAATTCTGGTTTGGTAGCTTCAGGCTTCTGCTTTATGTTTTGGGGATCTTGCCTGTCCTCTTCACTACACAGCTGCTCAGCTTTTATCTGTTTTAGCTTCTGATTTTTCAGTTCTATTGGGTGCACACACTTGGCATAGTTTCCCAAATTTCTGTTTGTTGGAACCTGTAGCATTGTAACAAGAGTTTCTAGTTCACAATTGCAATGCCAGGGATTATCATAAAGACGAAGATAGTTTAGACTGGGCATATAAATAAAAATCTCCTCAGATAAACTCTTAATTTGGTTATGCTGGAGTAGGAGTGTGGTAAGTTTATTCAAACCAAAGAAAGCCTGGCTCTCAATTTTTGATATGTCATTCTGCTGTAAATCCAGACTTTTCAATACTTTATATTTAGAAAACATATTATTCTTCAATTTACGAATCCTGTTTCTTGCTAGCAGCATGTGCTTCAAATCCTCGGGCCAATCAGGTGCCACAAAAACCAATTTTCTTTCCTGACAATCTAGATATTTCTCATGAAGGTAAACATATATATCACATGGTTGGGCCTGGGCGTTGCGCTTAACGGTGCTAGATGCTCTTCTTACGATGTTTTCATTTTTTCTCAGATTCCTATTCCTTGTCTTCCTAAAGTCAGATGCTTTACAAAGAAGAAGTAGTATTATAATAGTAATGACTTGCATCCTGACATTCAGCTTGCCCACTTATTTTTTTGTGACAACTGGGAGAGAAGAAATTTTTGGTTGTCTTAATCAGCGTTGTCCAGATCTGAATACACACAGCTGGCGTATGTGGTATCCCTGCAGTGGAAGAAAAATAAAACATTAGAACAGATGAAATAAACTTTTTGACAGAGGCTTGTGCACAGTGTGCAGCTTTCAGTACTCAGTCATTACACTACTTAAAACTTCACTGTTACTTTGATAAAGTTGTGTCCTTTTTCATTGCTCTTACTATCTGTGATCTCCTGTCATTTATTTTGCCAAAGCATGGAAAATTAGACAAACTGCTTGATAATTGATTTTTGTCACAAAGTTCTCCAGTGTATAAGAAACACCATCGGACAGAATCTTCTTTGTATTTAAATTCATCTTGGTAGATAAGCTTGAAAAAGGAGCTTGAGGCTGGTATTTTCCAGCTTTCTGGATACTGACCTGCTGGATGTTCTAGTACGAAAAACAACCGATAGGATATAGAAATTGTCCTGCATCCAGTGTTTCTATCACTCTCACAATATAAAGTGCATTTGTTTTCTGGTTGAGTCCCATTTTATCCCAACCAGCTGTGGTACAACCAGGTGTCTCTCATGGCCCATGTCAGGTAGACAAAGTTGCATAGACTGCTCTGTGAAGGACCCAAGTGTAGTAATTTTCAAAAGCGTATGTGGCTATTGTGTCATCTGAGGGTAGACAGGATGCCAAGGAACCTGGGGAACCTGACAATGGTCTGCTTCAAACCGCTCACAGGTCTGCCCACTTGAGAAGATAGAGGATAGAGGGGTAAGCCAGGAGCTTTTATACAGGGATTACTCTTAGAGGAAGATAAGAACCACACTATGCAATCACATCCAAAATTGCGTTAGTAAGTTTTCAGCTGATGTTTGCTCCTGTATTTCTTACAGTGGTCCTAAACTTCCCTTACTGCAGTTGTTTTCAGTAAATTTTGGCCACAAAGTTGCGCTTCCTCAAAAACATTTTCACTCTTGAGATTTTTATAGTCTGAATTTCTTTTTATCTCATTAATTTCCTACTTTCTGCTCATTAGTATCATTCCTTCTAAAACTTGCTTTTTTTTTTTTTCCAACTCTTCACTGTTTGAATTGTGTACTCAGTAATTTTTGCTCTGCCTATAGACATCTTTGTGTTATGATCTATCTTTTTTGACTTTAGTACTTAAGATGTAGATCCCAATCTTGAATGCAGTTTCCCAGATGTTTTTTTTTTGAAGCAACATTGTTTGGGTCTCAAAAACCTTGTCTTTATCTGTTGGAAAGATTCTATAATAAAAAAACTGGTATTAAATAAAATTTGTCAGCAAATTGATAGTTTAAACCTATTATGGACTAAGGAGCATTCTCAGTGTTTTTGTAGTTATAGCTTATTAAAAAAAACCCACAATCCTATCTGCATGCTGCTCTATTGTATCCCAACAGCTCTGGTACTATCAGGTGTCACTCATGGCCCATGTCAGGTAGTTAAAGTGCATAGACTGCAGTTTAGAAGTGTACCTCCAAACCATGTGACCCACTGTCAATATCAACTTTGAAAACCCCTTAACTGGATTCTCCATTTTTAATGCTGTATTTGCCAGTTCTCTATCGGCATTCTGATTCTGTTAACTGGTAGTGTGCATTACTGTCAACACGTTAACTCTTTAACTCCCAGTGCACTACATGATGTTATGATGTGGAATACTGCTAGCCAAAGATCATAAAACCATGACATTTACACTGATGACTTCACATGAAAAATGGGATTGTTACTTTTCAGAAGTTATATGCTAGTTGGTAGAAGCAGTGCATTATAGTAACATCAGTCATAACTGGGATCCTCTGTGCTATTTTAAACTTTTCAGCATTTTTCAATATTAAACATTCATATCCATGAGCGCTTGGAACTAGAAAAAGATAGGAACTTGGATGATGAAAGATAATAAATAATTATGAAATATTCTTTCTTCTTCCTTTCCATCTCCTGAATCTGAATTGGCATTTATTACCAGTATTATTCTGCCATCGAATTAAATTTTACTCAGCTGTAATATCAAAACAAGCAATTCCTTTCAGTAGCATTTATAAGTTCACATATAAAATATGTCTCCCTTATTCTTAGGCCAAGAACCATATAAGAGCTGTATCATTTCTGTGGCTTAGCAGGCTTAATGATGATTTTAACTGCTTACATTATTTTGAGTTGTGCAATCCCTGTCAGGGATCTTGAGGGATCAATGTCCTACTCTTGTAGGACAGACCTCTGGTTGCACTAATGCTTGACTACAATTGAGAACTTGCATTTGCTTACCATGTGAAAGTGGTTTTTTAAAAATACTTTTTATGTACTTCTAACTCTATAAATATTTCATACTGCATTTTCCATGTTAGGTATGTGTATCAGGCCTACTTTTTATTTTCATTTTAGTTTAGTCATATTGGTTATTTTTAAAGATTGGATTAAGGTAAAAACATTATAACATAATTACTTCTGAGGATAGACTTAAAATTTGGCAAAGAGAGTGGTTGAAAGGGTGTGGAAGGGCTGCTTCTAGTGTCAAACTTCCACATTTCATTATATAGTTAAAATTGCAAAGATCTCTGCAAAATAGATGTTATAAACAAGAAATTAAATGGACACAGAAGAGAATGTCCCAACTAAATTCTCCTAAATTCCATACCTGCAGAAGACAAGCAGAGCATTTTGTATATTTAGTTACTGCTCCTCTACTTGTCCAAGGAAAAAATAGTTCATATATATAATCAAATATTGGTATCATCATGTAACAGTGGGATGGAAAAGGCACATTTTAGACAACTTTATTCCATCATTTCCTAACTCTAAATTTCTCAACTAAAGAGCTTTCTTATCCTTTGGTAATGTAAGACAAAAAGCAGCTTGATTCATAAGCCAGAGATTGATGAAGTGTTAAGAAGGCATTTTTCCTCTGGACAACTTCAGCTTTGTATACTTTTTTGTTTGTTTGTTTGTGTGTGCTTTCTTCTCAGTAATCTGACACTGCAATAGTTTCAGGTAGGATACTGGCCTCGATGGACTGAATCTGTAATAGAAATACTTAAGTTTCTCTGGCACTCAGAGAATTCAAGCTTTTAACATTCAAAATGACTGGGTTTTTTAGGTGAATGTAGGAATTTGCAAGATTTAAATCTCTCTGAATGTCAGGGGTTGAATGTAAGTAACACAATCTTTATTTACGTACCTATTACAGATGAATCTGGCAAATCAACCATCCACTGTATTTTTTTCAAATGAATTAAAAAATAAGAAACTTTACAACAAGTATCAAAATTTGACAATAATTATTTTAGGATTATGCTTTTCAGGATTATCCAATTATCCAGAGGCTAAAACTTACACTATACTAAATTAACCTTGTGAATAAATATGTTCTTGTCATGTTCAGAATGCTCATTTGGCATGGTCTTAAAATTTCTGACTATATACAGTTTGCATCTGAATTCACATAACATAGACCTCAACCATCTCCTTGATATGATTAATTTCAGCACGTCTCTTCAAAGAGCAGAAAAAAATTGCAACTCTTTTTTTCAATTTCTGTCATCTTTTTAACAGGTATTAAATGTACTTGCTTATCTGTATTACTTCAGATGTGTAGTTTGTCATAGAATTTGGACTACTTGTTCTAAAATACTGTTAGAATTTTAATTATGCCTAGTAGGGCAGTGGCTTCTTACCAACCATTACATAGTAAATTTTGAAAGAAAATAAAAAAAAAGAAAAAAAAGGAAGAAATCAACAGTAACGTCACTACCACTGTAAACTTCCTAGTACTGTATTTTGGCAAACTCAGAGGACTGGTGAAATTGGTGAACTGTTGATATTTGGAAGTGGAAGATACTTAACAATATTTGCAAGGAGGAAGATGTATTGACCCTTGAGGGATGTCAGTTGCCACAAGACACCAATGGTACTTAGCGATATTGGTGAGAATGCTTTGGCCTAGCAGTCCAGGCAAATTTTCAGTCACTTTGAAATTCACTTATCCAGCCTACATTTTATCCTTTTGACTATGAAGGATACAGCGTTGAAGGCCTTGTTGTAGTCAAGATACACACACTACTGTTCTCCTCTTATCCAAAGATTTTGTTATTTCATCATAGAAAGCTATTACATCAGCGAGGAATGCTTTGTACTCAATAAATTCTTTCTGGCTGTTCCCTGTCACCTGTTTATCTTTCATTTGCTTGGTCATGGCTTCAAGGAGGGTCTGCTAAATAAACTTCTTAGGGACTTAGGTGAGGCTGAAAGACTCATAGTTTCCTGGATCCTTCTTCCCATTCCTGAAGGTGAATGCGACATTTCCTTCCTTCCAGTCATTTGACATCTCCTGTTACTTAGACCTTTGAAAAATGAGGGAGGACTCAGTGACAGTGAATATGCAAATGTGATACGCTTCAGCAGCACGTGCTAAAAATCCCATGTGCTTGATTGAACTGCATAGTGTTAAACATTTCCTTGAACTGCAATGTTAAATTTATCAAACTTCGTGTGAATAAAAGTAGTATCATATGTTTCTTAGTATTTTGCTTAGAGATTGAAGAAAACAGCTTTCATTTGTAAAAATAAATGTGGTAATTTAAAAACACTTGTTGAGGTGGGTTTTTTTTTTTGCTATTATGTAAGGGCTGCTCTGAAAGTAATGCCTCCTACTTAATTATATTGGCATGTGACATCAGAGGCTGATGTTGATAGTATGACAAAGGAGGCTGAAAAATATCCTGACAATATCCAGTTATGTTTTATTGCCATTCTACTCCTGAAAGCAGGGGAACAATCTGGTGGAATGGGATCAAAATGCATACGAAGCAAAAGCATGTCACTGAATTCCTCCATGCAGAAACAACGGCACACACTGACATCTCTGCAACATTTTTGAATGTTTATGGAGATCAAACATCTGTGCAGTGAGTTCAGTGAGGCAGTGGGTACTGCATTTCTGCAGTGCAATATTGGCAGTGGGTCACCTCTGCTGGTGCAGGTTTTTACAATCACAGCATGCAGGCTCTTGTTCATCACTGGCAAAAATGCAAAATGCTAGTGACAATGACTGTACTGAAAACTAATTTAATACCTTCTTGTGTCACTCTTGTAAGTGAGACTTTGTTGTGTCAAATAGTGTTACTGCACTCTTTGTAAATGTAGTTTCCATGGAAATAAATAGGAGGCATTACTTTCAGAGAAATCTACATATACACAAATGTAAGATAAATTAATGCAAATATAATCTGGATTTATTTTATTATTCAGGATGAATCAATGAGACTCAAATCTGAAGGCTGCAGATCTCTATTTAAATTTGCCATATACACATATTACTAATGGAACACTACAACTTTTGTCAAGGTGAAGTTAAAAATAAATGTTATAGTCTGCTTGTTTTACTCATACAGTAAGCTTAGAGGCATGAATTGTAGTAATACCCTTTTAAAGAGATGTACAGATTCTGTCTGTTAGACAAAATTTACAAAATACTCAATACATTTGACTCAGATGACAATTCTTTTTTCTTTTTCATTTTTTATTATAATTTTATTGTAATTAATATATGCCAGGCCACTCTGTATATTTCACAGATTTCTGCAGAAACTTTTAAGAGAACGTGGTAGTTAAAAAAATTCTGTGGCATGTCCAGCTACTCCTGATGATACAAGAAGTTTACACAAAGGAATGTTCATAAAAATCCTTTTTTGTGAGAGAAGATTGTGGGTGGGTCAATGTGAGCCAAATGGCTGTGTGCCAACTGCAAGAGTTATTCTAAGATCTAATTTGGAAGATCAGCGTATGGAAGACAAACAGTTAACACTGTTAGAGGTCTGTCATTCCTGGTTAGATGTGTCCCTCTGTAAGACACAAAGATTTGGTGAATAAGAGGTTGGTTGCTGCGTTAAAAGCTGACATAGAGGAAAAGCATGAGGGTCAAGGATGTGCCTCCACAAAGATGTACATAGATTCTGAAGATAGATGTATAATGTTTCTCTTTCCCATGAATAAAATCAATGCCATCCTTTCAGCGACACCCCCACGAAGTCCAAAAATCTCTTCTTCTTTTTCACTGTCATCACAATTTCTATTCTTCCCAATTTTGTGTGCTGCATCTTTGTATTACTAAAATGTGCTTTGGCAAAAATTTCTCTTGAGTGTCTCCAGTCTTGCCAGTCACCTCTTCATCAGTATTATTCTCATCATAATCTGTGTTTTTCCACAGTGGCTGATATTTTGTCTTTTTACATTTCCACATATTTTTGTTGCAGTTTGGAAAAGTTATTCTATAGGTAATCCCAGTCTATTTTATTCTGGTTATCTAAGTATCCTATTACTACCAAGAGTCAGAACCATATATTTCTTTTGATGTGTGAATCACACTTACAAAAGAAAAATGTCTCCAGAGTAGACAAAACTTTCAATGTAATAAAATAAATAAAACCAAAAAGGCAAGTTAAATACTAGTATATATTTTGCAGTTAACTTCTACCTCATAAATAGTAAATTTTTCTTTTCACACATGAAGCTTCTGGTTTGAAAGTATAAAATACCACCCTTTCTAGAGACCATTTTTGGACAAAAATCAAGGCTCACTGTTTCCAAGTTTACAAGGAAATAGAAAATGATGCTGGCCTGAGAAAGACTTGCTACAAGACACTTCTCATAAACACTTCATGTGCCATCTGAAAAGGCACATCTCACCACAGGTCTTGTGTAATAGTGTAACTAGTACAGAGTTCTTAAAGGTGGCAGTGTTGTATTTTGTAGTTCTGCGCATGAGGTTTGCCATTGGATATCAAATGTCCATTACTGGAATAAGGAACTACTGTGGGCTGAATGTGCTGAAAGCTGTTTGGTGATTTTTGATTCTCTCTTTTCCATGCTTTTCCTCCATACTGACACTGATTATTGGGTACATTTTCCCTCTGAAAAGTGCTTCTTTATATGACAGGCATGAATATTAGTTATTAAGAATAAGCGTGAGATGGTGATTTTATCAGATCGCATGAAAGAAATGAGCCTGAGATTGTTAATACCAAATTAATTTTAAAAAAGCCAGTAGGAGAGCATTTCTGCAGATTTCACACAAAGCAAGGATTAATAAGGAGTCCATGTGCTCGAGCTTAAATTCTAAGAAAACTGTCACTTCAAAGATGGCAGAAACACTCAAGTACTAAAATTCTCAGATCATAAAAATGAGTCATATGACCTATAAGGAAAATCATTGTCTCTTCAAGAGTACTGGATGGTTTTGTTCACAGGTTTCAAAATCCAGTAAGAAAGGCTTCCCTATATCTTAAGTTATGCATCCTTGTAGCACAACCTTATTTATAGAAGTCCATTACTTTATTATCTGTTTTGTTAGATGCATTTGGAAGCATCTAATCACTTGTAGTGATTTTTGCACTAAAATGCAAAAAAAGTATGCTTCTGTCAAGAAATATATTTCTGTATTCAAGAAGAAAGAAATGTTTCTGTTTAATAAAAAACAAACAAAAAAAAAACAAAACGAACACATAACCTCATATTTTCAGATCTGGCCTTGATTTATACTGCCTGTCTTCTATAGTGTTTTCATGAAATATAATCTTACATTTATTTTTAAAAGGTTTGTTATTATCTTTTTTTTAATGTTAACATTATTTTCCAGCTTCCTGTGTACATATACATATATGTATGTATTTACAGTTCAGTTCAAGTTACCATGTTTCCCCACTCTATGTGGAAAGTATAAAGTCAGCTCTGAAAGTCAATGCCACTCCCTAGGTAGTTAACTCCTCAGTGGGTGTTCCCGTGTTTCTTCAAAATGCTAATTTTTGCTGACTTGCAGATCTGCAGCACTGTATGCCTACATCTAAATATTTACCAGAGCAGTAGGTCCTAATTCTAGGCTCTGATTTTTTATATACTTTCATTTGTGGTGCTTGTGGCAATAGTTATTTATTCCAGTTAGAAATTTAGTTCAATAAAATGAATGGTTTTCAGTGTGCTATAAACCAGATCCACAGATGGAAACTTAAATACATCCCAAGTTTAGATTCTCAGCTTTTACAGAGTGCTGCAGAAAAACATTTTCCATTTATACAGTTTACTTTCTTTTTGCTAACATTTAGTATAAAAGCAATGTTTTCCAAAAGAACTGGTTAAAACTTTAGAAAGCATTGAAAGATAAAAGATGTAGGCACTTAATTCGCTTTTGTATCTCTATCAGTTTTTCAGGTTCTTTTAGTAGTATTCTTCTAAATAACTGCAGGAGCAGAGAAGCTCTTACTGTGCGTTTTTATTGTTAATGTTCTTTGATAGAGCTCTGGCTTTCATTTCCACCAGGCGCTGCTTGTAAAATCAATGGCAACGACAGTCCAGCAAGCTTGCACTGAAAAGCCAGTTAGTTTTCAAAGTATGCATACAAGAATCACAGTTAATGAAAAAAGTATGGGTTTGTAGTTATTCAAAATAACTTTAAAATGATACTGTTTTCATACAGTGAAGTATGTCATATGATAATGCTATTCTCTAATAAACCGGAGTAGAAAGTGCAGTGGAAAGAAGAGTCTTTTACCAAGAAGAAAATTCTGTTAAATGTCTAACACAATTCCTTTACAGTAATTTTCAGAATAGTTTAGCTCTGCTATTTTGTCTTTTTCTGATTCTATAACATACTCTTGTGATAATTTTCTCTCTCTTCTATTTCATCTTGAAAAGGAGCTTTCCCAATTTGCAGTACTTCAGTTTAGCTCACTGCAGAAAATACACAGACAAAGGTTTACAGTACCTGGGCACTGGCACAGGATGTCACAGGCTCATCTACTGGATCTTTCAGGTTGCATTCAGGTTTGTACTTCACGTCTTTCTTCCATTCTGTGAAGAAGAGAATCCTTTATATGACTGGCTGCATCCTGCATTCATGGTATACTGAAGTAGAACAAGCACTGCAGAAGTCTTCCAGGGTTTTGAATTACACGACTACAGCTGTTTAAATTTTACTGAGGAATAATAGCACTATAGGTTTGGATCGCTTCCAACAAACTGTCAGATCTATAAACAGCTAGTGCTTACTGCATAATGAGAACAAGGCTTGCTTTTTGTGGCTGTAAATAACTAATTCTATGTTATGATTAGTTAGGATTTCAAATCAGGAGATTTGAAAATGCAGTTTTTACTAATGCATTAAAAATAAAGCCATCGTGCATTGGAAAAATGCAAAGTTACACTTGAATTTCTGAGAAGGAAAGTAATTCAAATGTAATCTTTTGTTACTATTTTATAACAGTTTAAAACACACTGAAGTAGTGTTTATAATGATAATCTAAAAATAGTTAATGCCTTGGGTTATTTCAGTCTCCAACTAAGATTCTAAAGATGCCCAGTGTTTTAGAATCTGGTACTATTTTAGATACTTTCAAATATATTCTGTATCTCAAAACATACTATAAAAGCGAAATGAAATACTAAACCATGAGGCAGTAAAAGCCTGCCAAGGTCTTAATAAAAGCTCCCACATACATTCTTGTTTACACTGATAGGCTTCTCCAAAGCACAAAATATGTGGAAAATGGTGAAGAGTCGGAATCTGACAAACAGAATGGTTTAGCTTCCCATTTGACAGAGTCTTTCCAGAGCCAAGGATGAGGGCAGAGGGGGCAGAAGCCTTCTTCTGACTGCTTTTTGCTCTGAGTGTCTCTTTCCTTCTTTTTCAGAAGTGCAATCATGAACTGTAAGGATCTGCCTCTAGAAAGCATGATCTAACAGTAGTCAGAGAAAAGTGGTCATCACTGAACTAGGAAAACCGCAATCTTTCCACTTTCCAGAGGAATGAAGTGGGTTTGCTCACCAGTGTATTTGAGAGCTCTGAAAGTCATTCCACAGCTTCCTCCATTTTGGGTTTCCCTCTGATTCTGGAACAGCATTTAATGATCATGACTGAGCAATTAAGTAAACAGCTAAAACTAAAAAAGAGCATCAAATTGCATCACTGTTGCTGAAAGCCTTTCAAGAGGACAGAATGGTGGGTGTTTTTTTTTACCTCATTGGATTAACTAAGCAAAAGAGAACTTCTGTGTGGATAACATTTTAGAATTAGAAATTAGACCAGAAAATATGTTCTGTAGAACCCTGTTTTTTCCTTCATTTTAATATCTCTGTTCTTTTCAAATGTGTTCTTATATTACACCTTACTATTGTAGTACTTAAACATCTGTTTGGAAAACCCATCTGTAAAATAAGTGATTATGCTAATGGTCTTAGAGGTGGCAGTTCGGGGACCTGAGCATTTAAATAACTCACTAAAGCTTAATTAGGCAGAAAAAAATAGACATTAAGCAAATATTTTCCAAACAATTGTAAAACACGACAGCCTTTGTTCTGATTGACTATTATTATAATTCATAGTAATAATATATGGTGAATTCTAGCTATGGCTTTTTTGCATAAAATTTCAGAAGTTAAGGTTGTGTCTGTATTACATGGATGGTAAACATTTCATTAAAAAGTTTAATGCCTTTGTTGTGAAACAGAGATTTCCTTATGTCCTACTCAAAAGCATCCTAATATAGCACTGATAATCTCAAAGAGAGACTCAGAAAACCTTATTGCTTTGTCCTGCTTCTGAAGCAGAACAGTATAGATGGATTATTTTCTGCTATGAGTCACAAAACTAAGATAAAAAATGTAAAGAAATTGTATATCATTTACTAACATTATACAAGTAGAAAAGTTTAGTGAGAGATACTTTCATTTATATTAGAAACATGGAGATTTTCAAAGAAATTGACTTCTTTTTGGAGCCAAGATCTATGGCTTACTGATTTCTAGATGAACAACTCTGGCCCAAAATATTTTAGAGCAGCCTATCAATTGCTGTAATTAACAACAGCTGGCTAAGAGGTTACAAGGCACTGGGGAAACATGAATTTGACCTGTTCATCTCTTGACATGCCGTAGTGTCTGTGGGGATGACAGAGAAGCTGCTAGCAAATGTAGAGGCTTCACCACATTTCACCAGGTTCTTTCTGCTCTCACATCACTGAGAGAATTCTCTTTTTGGCAGCTACTGTCAAATTTTGGCTTCTTCAGACATATCAAGCAAGAAAACAGGAGTGCTTAAGAAGAAAATCTGAGCTGTGTTTATTAATTATCAAAGAAAGAGGACTCATTGTTTATATTTCCCAATTACAACCTTGTGTAACTGAAGAGTAAGTTACACATGCACTATTCTCTATTATTGGAAACGTGATCGTTTTGGAGTACATTAATGTAAGCTATTTTGGGTAGTGGAAAATGTAAGAAAATTACATTTTCATCAATGAAAGAAACCAAACATCCGAATGTATGTCACAGTTTGTTTTATCGTTCTTGATAAATTTGAAATTTAAAAAAAAAAAAGATAGTCCCTTGTACACTGCAGGAGTACTTCCTCAGTGTGGAACACTGATTTTCAAGATTCTTCATTCACAATGTGTTGACAATACTGGAATTGCAAAATAATGATTCTTTACAATACCTTCTATGCTGCGGAGTGCATTCTGCTCTGCAGGGTGGATTCCACAAAAACAATCTTTTCAGAGTGAGAACATAGGAATTTTAAAGCAGTGATAGTGTGTGATAACAAATAAACCAAAAGCCAAATAAAATTTCTGTGTTCCCATTGTTTGGAATTAAGAAAATATTTTTTTAAAAGACTCAATGAAACGAATTTTGACATTCTCACAAATATTTTTGCATTTCACTACATTTATTTTCTAAATCTGCGGGGACAGTTTATTAGGTCTTTATATTTAGCTGTAGTTTGCTCCATGTTGGCTTTAACATATTGTTTTAGACAACAGTATATTAGCATACAGTTAAGGAAAAAAGCAAACCATTTATATATCAGACTGAGAACTCGCAGACAAGGAATTACGTTTTCTGTAGGATCATTGTGTTGACTTCTGATCCTATAAATGATAAATCTATATATATATAACATCATACTGAGTCAAGCAGCAAAATTATGTTTTGCAGGATTTTATAACATCTTAGACTCAGAATCTTCTTTGACTTTGGTGCATCACCCCTCACAGTACATTTGAAGAAAAAGGCTTAAGTAGGATTTTCTCATCTAAAACAAAAAATGCGGTATTAAATTCCATATATGTTCTAGCAATGATTCCATGGTCAAACTGTAGTTCTTAAGTGAATCTTCTAAACATTGAAATTCCAAGTGAGTTGAGAAAGCAGTTGTTCTACTAAAATGTCCATTGGATTTCACATTATTTCAACGTCTTGTTTTCAAGAATGCCTGATGTTTCTTAAATAACCCACAGTGGCTTTACAAAGGAAATTCAAGATTAATACTTAAGATATTGCAACAGCATCTGAAGGTTGAGTAATGCAATTGAATCTTATCTGAATGCAAGAGATCTGTGTTAAAAAACAGTTTGAGTGAAAAAATTAGAAGCAATCAGTACAAGAGTTTTATTCACTGCTTCAGTACAATTGTTTTTGGCTTACATGGAGGAAAACACTAAATTGCTGCTATTTGTGGTATTAAATTGCTATGTTAAGCAAGCAGTGTTTTTCCAGACAAAGAAATTAAAAATTCTTTAGACTACAGTTGACATTTTCGGTCTTTACTGAATTTCAGAAACAGATATGCTACATCTGTCCCTAAACATTGTTGAGTTTGACCTGATTATCTGCTACCTTCTATCTCTCCTTTTGAGAATGGGAATCCCACTTAATTCTAGGTACCATACAAAGGGAAAATGACCATTTTGTTATGTTTGTGAAGACACAAATAATGTATTTCTTACTCAGATTTCAGTTGATGGCTTCAGAAATATTGGCAATGGCTGCAGTGGGATTCAAGATTTGCCAATCAGTGAAATGCCACCTCTTACAGACAGATGTATTCAAGTAAGTATTTGAAATCTGAATTTTGGGGGAATATCTGATGTTAGACCTGGATTATCATCTCAAGTGATTTTGAAGAAAGTATGCAGATAAAGATGAGAATTTCTTTCCTAAAGCATTTTTGAAAGCTATTGTTTAATTGTGTTTTAAAATCTTACTAACTCTTGTTCACTAACAGAAAATTTCAATTGTCTTGTCTTCTTTTGATACACAGGTGAATAGCTGAATTAAAAACTTCTCGTTTACATGGTTTTTCAGAGTTGCACAAAGTATAAAATATGGGAACATTCTGCTGCTAACTTAGCCCATCACAAGAAGTTTTTCAGGCTTCTGCAGAAGTGGTTGTTAACTATATCACTATCTCAGGTGTTTGCCAAACTTCACATCTCCAGTTACTTCTTTGCTTTTTGTTTCCAAAGATAATAAATATATGCAAAATTTCAACTATATATACTTAGAACTCACATGTTATAAGTTACTTTTGAAATGGGTTACAACTATTTGTTCAGAATTCCAACTACCAGTATTATATGCAGAATGTTTGCTGATCTTTTGTTATGTGACCACATAAGCATGTTAATAATTTATTTCACCTTTCTCTACAAAGGCTCTGGTTGAAAAATGTCGACGAATAACATCTGCAGTGTTTCTTGACTCTCCACATCTTTCTGATACAACTTTTAAAGCCCTTACTGAATGTAAACTTGTTAAAGTCAGGATTAAAGGTTAGTACAATATTTCACAAAATTATTTTGAGTGATTTTAAAAATTAATCCACTTTAATTGATAAGAAATCAAGAAGAATCTTTCAATTGATTTTGGATCTGGCCCTTAACGTATGCCGAATGTGTAACTTTATCTTCTGTATTTCAACAGGAAATAACCAAATTACTGACCTGAGTTTCAAGATGATGAGTAAATACTGCCAATACAAGATGCACATTCATTTTGCGGGATGCCAGAAGATAACAGACGCTGGTCTTAAGATGATTTCAAAACTGAAATATACTCTTGTTTTAAATGTGGCAGACTGCGTAAGGT